ACTGTACTTGCATACATACCTGGTTCATTATGTGACAGCAGTATGCATGATAGCTTGCTTATCAATTGTTCGCTCCAAATTATCTGATCTGTATGAATGGTTACATTAATGTAGAATATATCCAATGTTAATGTTTTTTTAGCTCTGCATTGTTCTTGTAAGTACATGTTGTCCTCTATCAGTGTACCTATAATGACAGGTAGTTGTTCATGTACCATCACTCTGCAGCTTATTTTCCTTTGCCCTCCATTTTCTACACATCAGATCTATATTTACTCTTACCATAAGGTTGGTACTGAAGAAGTTTAGTTGTGCATTGCTCTTGGCTGTACCTTTTGCATGTATCGCTGCACTTACATTTATAGCCACTTGGTTATGTAGCATCACTCTTCATCTTATCTTAAATATTCTCCATTTTTTCATATATTATCACATCTATATTTACTCTTAACAAAATGTAGAATAAATGCAATGCTTTTGAAGAAGATTCTGTGGTAAACTTTTTGAATTGCCCCCCCCCCCCATCAGCATGGACAAGGCCTTTATAGAGCCTGTCTTCACCAATAATGTAAGTTTATCCATCTCAAGCTTTCAAACTTTGTTGTATATATTTGGTTAGGCATGACTGCAACAACTATTTATTTTTGGTGTTTGCATCAAATTGCTTGTTTAAAGTTTATTATGTAGTTCATAAACAAAAGTTTGTCCTTTCTCAATTTAAGTTTTCAGTTGTACAACCAAGTTCCTTCTTCATACCATGTAAATTAAACTATACAAAGCAAGTGATCTTCTTTTGCACTGCATGTATGCTTCTGTTCTTCATCTGTAATCCAGTGGTGTGGTTAACCTACACACTACAACACAATGTCATATTCTGCAATGTCTTAACTATGAACAATGTCATATCATTCTGCTACTATTTAAACCGTCTCTTTATTTGCCAATCTGAAATGGTACAAATTGACAGCACACTAACCATTGATACTTATGAGTTCTTGATCTGTAATCCAGTGGTGTCGTGAAGCTGCCAACTCCTTCACAATGTCATTTCCTGCCATGTCTTAACCTGAACAATACCATATTGTGTTAATACAATTTTAAACTGTGTCACTTTATTCATCAGTAAGAAATGTGATGAATTGTCAGCACTGATACTTTTATGTGCAAAACCTGTCATATGTCTGTTTGTTTATCTTTCAGAGTGAGGAAGATATAAGTGTTGAACAAGCGCAGTCTCATCATCTTGCTCAGCTGCTTGCGCTGCAGCTCCCCAGCAGGGCTAACCTTTCTTGAACTCTATTGAAGTGCTGTCGGTTTTGTATATTATTTTGTCGGTGTGTTTATTTGCACTGGTGGCGATCTTTGATGCCCAGTGTATGTAATTTGCTGTCTGCTTGTGCTTTATTATCATAGTGACGAACTTTGATGCCCAGTGGATGTAATATGTCGTAATTTATTTATTGTATAGTCTAGATTTTTTCTTATTCACGATGCTGCAGTTATTTTACTGTATATATATCCTGTCTTCGCAGTAAACCGGCCAAACCGTAAAATTACGGTACATAATCGGGCCGTCATGCAATCACGATGTAGGTTGGGTCTAAAACGTGCCGAACAGCTCACGGGCCGGCAGCAGCCCAAAATGAACCCCGACCCATGATTGTGCGAATCAAATCACGGGCTTTTAACAGGCCAAAATTGTCTCGGTCCTTATTTGGCCCAATCAGATATCGGCTGCGAGCAGGCCGGATGCAAACCGGGCCGTAGTTAGGCCCAACTATATGACGGGCTTTTAACAGGCTGAAATTAATATAGGGCCGAAATGTTAAACGGACCCTTAACAGGCCAAAACTAATATCAGGCTGAATTACTAAGTGGGTCTTTAGCAAGTGGGCCCAAAAGCATAGTGTCCAGTTGACGGGCCGAATCCGATATGGGCCATAATTGAGCCCAAAGCCTCTTAAAGGGCCGGACCTGATCTGGGCCGTAATTTGGCCCATAACGTGGTAGGCTTTTAACGGGCCTGATCTCATATGGGCCACTATTAGGCCCGGAGCGTGGCAGGCCATTAATGGACCAGATCAAATATGGGCCGGCATTTAGCCCAAAACATGGCAGCCAGTTAATGGGCCGGCCGACTAGGGTCCTCAAAATCTTGTGGGCCTACATCTGGGCCCGCCCATTAATGTCGGCGAAATCTCGTGGGCCTTTAGCTGGGCCGGCCCATTATGATCCACAAGAATCTTGTGGGCCTTTACCTGGGCCGGCCCATTATGGCACACAAAAATCCTGTGGGCCTTTACCTGGGCCAGCCCATTATGGCCCGCAAAATCTTGTGGGCCTTTAGCTGGGCCAGCCCATTATGGTCCGCAAAATCTTGTGGGCCTTTAGCTGGGCCGGCCCATTATGGTCCGCAAAATCTTGTGGGCCTTCAGTTGGGCCGGCCCATTTAAACTTGATGGGCCGATCCACGTGTCAACATATCATAGGCGCGTCTTGCCCATTGGATGAGTGACACCTGTGCCAACACGGACCTGACACGTGTCTCCTCCAGCCAATGATGATTTTACACGTGGAAAATCCCCATTGGTCGGGGCTGTTAATGGGTTATCGGATCCAAAACCCGATCCGATAGCTTAACGGTGTTCCGTTACGGTGGATGTCACGTGTCGGTCACCCTTGACGAAAGCACTTCTGTGACGCGCGATTTATCGTCATGTAAGTGGACACTTCCGTGATGATAATTTTGGTAATGTCATGGAACACTTCTACGACAGCACAGGTATGGCTATCTTGATTCTGTCATAAATTTGTCATGGATGTACATGCATGACAAAAAATGCGACCTACTGTGACAAACACGTATCATCACGGAAGTGTATTTTTTTGTAGTGTGGCCCGCAAGCTCCCCATACACTCCCGGAGTGCGACCCAGACATCGTTGATGGTCATCCGCGCCTCCACCAGCGTGTCCATGTCCACCCGATGGGGTGCCCATCCTGCCACCAGTGTCTGAATGGTGATGCACAGCTGGTTGAGCCGGTCCCGGTGCTCTGCCATGGTATCATGCACTGCGGTGACCCGCTCCTCGGTCACATGCGCATCTCCTTCCGCATCGCCGCCAGTTCTGATGTGTGGGGTGGTGAGGCATGGACGGGTGTGGTGGTCGCTTCTAGACTAGTATATTAGTATCACAAAAGGACATGGCAAAGCAATGGAGAGGCCCCGTCGAATGGCTCTGCAGCAGCAGGAGCTTCACATTGGTGCCATTGCCTTTCTTTCTGACCAATGGCACCTCCTTCTGCCCCAAGAAAAGAAAAGAAATGCTCATTAGCTTGAATGACATCTACTTCGGCCCCAAGGACTGAATTTTGTAATGTAGTCAATGCTGTTCATCAATTCACTCAGGAAATACATAATCATGATTTTGGAGGTATTGGACCTAAGAGAACTTGCATGCATGTACACATTGCTTGATTTGACGTTGTGAGTTGTGAGACATGATCATTAGTGTGGATAACTCCATTTATGAATGAACTTGGTTATGCATTGTCACCTCGACTGAAAATATATTGGTGTTTTCCAATAAAAACACGAGTTGAAAGGCGGGTTGCTTTTAAAAACTTATGATGATGCTTTGAAGATGATACATGTATCATAGAGGTCAAAGCATCTTACAATATATGTTGATCATGTCAATATAATTGAGCAACAACACTAGTATGATGTTGTGGTAGTTGGATTAAGTGAGTTGCCTAGAGTTATGGTCTTCCCTAGTAAACACGAGGACATAGGGAAAGGACGAAGTGAGACAGCAGGAAATTCGGTAGTGGAAGGAGGAACAAAAGAAGAGGTCGAAGACAGTGACAGTGATGATCTAGATGAGCAATTTAGTGATAGTGACTATGACATATAGAGTGGAGATGATGAATTATATGAAAAGAATGTAGATCGTGCCGAGAAGGATGGATTAATTCATGAGAAAGTGAAGACTAAGTTGTACGAGGAAGATGAGCCATTTTTTTCTGTTCTCAAGCTTCCAGAAGAAGAGGGGAACATGAAATTCAACTTCAAACCATTTATTAATGTTGTAGGCATGGAGAAACCAGATTTCAAGCATGGCATGAGTCGGAACAATTGAGGAGATTTGGCAAGCCATATCTAAGAATGAGGTACAAAAGAGAGTGAAGTTCACCAAGACTAGAAACGAGAATGTCTACTTTGGGCTCAATGCGTGGATGGATGCTCCTGACTTTCCAAGTGTTCATTTGACAAAAGGTCAGATAGTTATCTAATATAAAGCATATGTTGGTGAACACACATGTGAGAAGATATAGAATGTGAAAGAGATGACTGCTCCTTATCTCATAAAGAAATGTTCGGCTGAAGATGATCTTGCACTTTTTTTCCCACACGGTCTTGCGCGGATGGGTTGTTTTTGCTAGGGATGTAAACCAGGTCCATTTAATACACTTATGGTCTAACAGTTCAATCAAGTTTTTTCCGAAGAAAATGAACAATCGAGCTAGCTGAAGCTAACTAAACAGGACTTGCGGAGCACCGTTCATTTGCCATTTATACCCCTACTTTTTGCATCAAGATGTGTGTAATAACAATATTTGTTTCTACAAGGCTTGCCATTTATACCCCTACTTTTTGCATCAAGATGTGTGTAATAACAATATTTGTTTCCACAAGGCAGTGCTAAGAAAACATATTCCTCCTTGCTTGGAATCATATGTTTTCGAATGTTCATTCTATTATAAATGGACTAGTATTTTGAGATTTCGAAAATCAACTTACTAGAGCGAGGAGGTCTGTCTTGCTGTGGTAGCGGAGGGAGCACGCTACCCCTCCTGTTCTGGCTGGTGGGCCCATCCCCTGCAACCGGATCCGCCTGGCGCTCGCTGCTCTTCCAACCTTTCTCTCCTCTCCTCCCCAAGAATTCTCACCTCCGGCCTCACGCTCGCAGCGAGAGAGAGACGAGCGGAGCGGCGGCCATGGCGCGAGAGCTGAGCAAGGAGAACCTGGAGTTGGTCCTCATGCAGGCCATGATGGCCGCCAAGAACGTGCGCACGCAGCGCGACCGCCTCCTGGAGCTCCACCGCCGCCTGGAGCGCCACCGGGCCGCCCCCGCCCCCACCCCTGCCGACGCCGAGGCCAGGCTCGGGCAGATCGCCTCGGACGTCTTCAAGGTCTATTACCTCGGCCTGGATCCCGGCGCCAGGATGCTCTCGGTCTGCCTCGACACCGCCGTCAAGAACCGCGCCGTCTCCGCCGTCAACATCGCCTTCGCACTCCTGCCCGACGAGCAGCTCTACGACGCGCTGCTCGCGCAGAAGCTCCCGGCCCGCCCCACCACCCAGGCCCAGGCCATCGCCCGCGTCGAGTCCGCCATCTTGGCCGTCAAGATGCTCGAGGAGCACCACCTCCCGCGCTGCGTCGAGTGCCTCGTCGGCGGCCAGGCCCCCGTCCCCGGCAAGCCCCGCGACCCGGTCGCCGCCGCCACCGAGAGCCTCGCCAAGGCCGATCTGTCCGACGACCCGGACGCCACCGCCAAGACCCGTCACGTAGCCAGCGACGGCGACGTGGACAAGGCGCTCGACTACCTGTGCCGCGCAAACCGGATCACGGCCCTCGCCATCAAGCACATCGACCTCGCCGTCGCCGTCCTCTCCCGCTTCCTCGACCGCAAGGAGCTCGCCCGCCTCGCCAAGTTGACCGACCGTGGCGCCTACCTAGGAGTTGAGGTCCGCTACCTTCCTCTTCTCTTCTTCCTCCCTAGGTGTACCGGCGGCACGAGCATCAATCTGACAGTCCGATTCATCTCACTGCAGATTAGCCAGCCCACTACTTCACCTGATCCATCGACGCTGTCGACATGGGACTGAAGGGTGGTGGGACCCCTTTTGAAGCCATGCCCCTCCTATCACTCATTTATGCAGACTTGTGGTTTCAGTTCAGTTTGGTCAGATTTATTCAGTGCTATGCTACTACTATCTGTGTTTAACTAATTCCTGGGCGGCCGTGGCAACTTATATTAGCTTCATCTATTAGGGGTAATCAATGTAGTAGTGTAATGTTGAACTGCATCTTATCAATGGGAGGATCGAATCAAATCGCAGGAGGTATCTTAAAAAATCAGCTTCATCTGTCGTACTAGTACAATGTCGTAGCTGCATATTGTTCATGGATGATCAAATTGAATTGCATGACAAAATGGTGATTTCGGGCTTGTTATAATCATGTTTTGTGATGCCACTTTTTTGTTCCGGTCGTAGACTTAGCATGGATAGCAAGATCTCTTAATGGCGTGCATCCCCCGTTTGGGAATCGTGTTTTCTGATGCATGGTGTTTGTGATGATCCATATATAGTCACCAACATCTTTGTAATCTTCCTACATGCTGGTTATCTTGGACTGGAAGCATTGACCAGGCACAATTTGCTTGATTTCCCCGTTAATTCAGACCTTCTGCTTCTGCATTGTGTTATTTTAGAATGAGGTAAACACCCGCCCTATTGTGCCTTGTGTTATTATGTGTGGTGTGCTGATGTCCCTAATTATTTTGAATCACTCTATCAGTCGCTCTGTTCATCTATGCTGTCTAGTTTATGTAACCTTTTGATATCACTTCAATTCGGCCAGTTTATTCTGCTGCTAATATCTGTGTTTAATTTCGGGAGAACCATGCCTATTTTAATTAGCTTCATTAGGGGTAATGTTGATATGCATCTTATCTGTGGGACAGCCGAATGGAGTTGCAGTTTCAGCGCATGTGAAAATTGGGATTTTGGACAAGCTACAACCATGTGTTTAATCATTTGTCTGGGATGGCATTTGCTTTGATCATAGGATAGTAATCTGGATTAATTTTGTTTGCATCCTCAGTTGCTATTTTTTAAATGTTCATTCCTTAATCTTGTTCTGCATGGCGTAAGAGTTATATATATATTTTATTGTTGTGAATTGTGATAACTGATCCACAGTCACTGAGAAACTCATGATGGACTGCATCCTACATTTGCTGGTTGTTTGGGAGGATGCATGAGGCACATTATGATGACCCTTTTCCAGCAAGTTTAGTAATCTGCTCCTCATATTTTTTAGTATGTAATCTTCTCCTTATGTACACTTACGGTCTCTGTACATGCGCAATAAATTTACACTTATCTTAGCTGCATCTTATTTGTGGACGATTCAATCAAATTGAACATGACAAAATTGGGATTTCAAACGTGCTACTGTCTGTTTTAATCATGTTTTGTGATGCCATTTACACTTATCTTAGCTTCATCTTATTTGTGGATGATTCAATCAAATTGAACATGACAAAATTGGGATTTCAAACGTGCTACTGTCTGTTTTAATCATGTTTTGTGATGCCATTTACACTTATCTTAGCTTCATCTTATTTGTGGACGATTCAATCAAATTGAACATGACAAAATTGGGATTTCAAACGTGCTACTGTCTGTTTTAATCATGTTTTGTGATGCCATTTACACTTATCTTAGCTTCATCTTATTTGTGGACGATTCAATCAAATTGAACATGACAAAATTGGGATTTCAAACGTGCTACTGTCTGTTTTAATCATGTTTTGTGATGCCATTTTTTTGTTCCGATCATATGATTGCAATCTATACTAATGAAGTGCATTCCCAGTTTGCGAACCGTGTCTCCTATCAGTCGTTTAGTTCATGCAACCTTATGATTCCTCTGCATGCTCCTCCTATCTTAGTCGTTTAGTACATGCAACCTTATGATTTCAGTTCAGTTGGTTCAGTCAGATTACTCTGCTGCTATGCTACTACTGATTGTTTAATTAATTTGTGGACGGCCAGTGGCAATTTATCTTAGCTTCCTAGGTAATCAATGTAGTACCATAGTGTTGAACTGCATCTTAACTGTGGGACGACCAATATATATGGTACTAGTGAGGTGTCGTTGCATCTTATTCGTGGATGATCGAATCGAATCACATGACAAAATTAGGATTTTGGACGTGCTACTACTGTTTTTTAATAATCATATTCTGTGATGCCATATTTCTGTTCGGATCATAGCTTCCAGCCCCAGTTTGTGAATCATGTTTTCTTCTGCGTGGAATGTGCTTGCTGTCCCTACTGGTTCATGCTCATCCAGCATGTTTGGTAACCTTGTGCCTCATGTTATTATGTGCGGTGCCCTCATGTCCCAACTGATTCTTTCAAAAATAATTTGGGAGGAAAACCATCGTACTTATGTGATCTGGAACACACATACTCACGGCCATGTAGGATTTATGTGAGGAGCGAAAAGTATTTGCATTCATTTTCACATCATCTGTAGAAACAAGAAGATATCTGGAGATATATAACATGGCTGAACATTTCTGTTCCTTGTAGAATGTGGCACTGTACTATGCTGCAAACTAGTGCAATTTTGTCAGTTCCTTGTTTTGTTTCTGAAGACCAAGGGCACTTCCCAAAAATTGACACTTGTTTAACTTATCTGTCCAAGAAATTCAAAACAAAAAACATTTTGCATTTTTGAAATCGTCTTTTGTCACTAAAGAAATTGTCTTTAAAATTGCCTTAAAAAATGAATTTCTTTTCTGCTAGTGCTGATTGACTTAGCTATCGACAAGTCCTTATCAGTCAATTTACTTCATCTATGATGATCTCTAGGCGGTCAATTATGCAGACTTATGTTTTCATTTCAGTTTGATCAGACTAGTATGTTGTTCTGCTACCATCTGAACTTTTTTGTCAGCAAACATGGATGTGGGTTTCACATGCATGCAAATTTTTGTGATGAAAATTACATTCATAGAAGTCTAGGCAAAAATAACAAAATTGGTGTTCCAAAATGCTTTCGAAAGCATAAAATAAACAGGATCATCGGTTTTTTTTTTGGGGCATGTCAGCTCATGCTCACAAACCCCATGTCCCACAAATTGCTTTGAACTGAAGAACAACCGCACAGAATTGCACTTAGTTTGTCCATTTCATAATTAGAAAACCCATTCAGGATGTTCTACCGCCTTTGAGACCCGTCGCAACAACAGCCGCCAACAATCATCACACTTGATGACCTACAGAGGCTTGCTGACAAGTTAATATGTGAGGACTGAGCCCGACTAACCGGTGGACGAGGATGCGCCCGCAGTCCAACGGCCGGCGAGATGCGAGCACAGAGAGAAGGCAGAAATACCGTGAGGCTGCGCGAAGCGCTCGGGTTACTGCACGATTCGGTTTCCGACGACTTCCAACGAAACGTGATGGCGCCGAGGCCTGGGTGCATCGAAACCGGCAACAACAGTGACGTGCATAGATACGTCCATTCTGGCGGTGGCGACGAGTGGCAGCTGAATCGAAGTGGGTGGAGGAACGGCGGGCGCTACGTCGTGTTTGCGGTGGTGCTTGTCCACCGGTGGAGGCAAGGACAACTGCGCCGGAGTGGATGCGGCCGAGTGGGGGAGAGCAGCGAGCGCAGGAAAGGGGGAAAATCATCCTAAGAACGAGCCCGGCCGAGTAAATATAAGCAATGACCGACGTTAAACTTTTTAGGAGTTATAAAGCAGATGAGGGATCGGCTAGGTCCTGAAAACAGAAAACTTATGGAGTTAATCGGTTTTGAGGGCCAGTATTCCGGAGAAAATACAACATTCGTTTCAGACCATCTGTGCATGTACTTCCTCCGTTTCAAATTACTCGTCGTAGAAATGAATATATCTAGAACTAAAATATATTTAGATACATCCATACCTGCGATAAATAATTCGGAACGGAGAGAGTAGTAACAAGAGGGTATGTATTCACGAATGTCGAAAAATACAGTGGCTGAGCATTTGTGTGGCACTGTACTAGTACAGTACAACCGGTTGGCTCTTTCATTCCCATCCATCGATGATCCATCATGCTCCTACTCCTCTATGCTTCATCCAATTAGGAATGAGATGTACAAAATGATTTTCTGTACCCCTAAAAAAAGATGATTTTCTCTTTTGAGATGATATGGTAGTTGATTTTGTTGAGTAAATAGGCAATTTCTCGATTAAATTAATCCACGAGTAAATCACTAGCATGACATTGACACAAATAAACACATACTGGTATTCAGTCAAGCTAGCACATACTACGCTAATTGCAGAAAGATTTACGTATAACGCTAGCATGACTAAAACAGAAAACAGTAGAAGCGGGATAAACGAGTTATACCCTCCAGTAGGCCATGCAGAGGCCGCGGCTTTGGTGGCAGCAGCGGCGTCCTCGGAGGCCTTCTTGTCGGTTTCAGCTTTCTCGGCGGCGGCACGTTCGGCGTCGGTGGACATGGTGATGATGAAGGCGACGCGGACGTAGAGGAAGTAGACGATCGAAAGCGAGCAGTCGTGTAATCGCTGCCCAAAAACCTATTCGCCCCTCACCCCGTACAGGAACCAGAAGGGTGTGGTTTCGGAGACCTGCTCTCCCGTCGACCGTGTATGCGGCGGACGAGATGGAGTCACCGATGGCATCAGCAGCAAAGGAACGACGGTGGGCGTGCGCGTGGAGCAGATGTGATCTGTTCGTGGTGGCTAGGGTTAGGAGACACCGCACACTTATATAGACGCAGCCGCGTGGAGAGACGCGGGCTCGAACGTCCGAGTCCGTGACAGCCCACGATCTGACGTCTCAGATCGTGGCCCAACTGTCAGAGAACTCTCCGTTAGTGACTGGCAAAAATAAGAGCGTAGGTGTGAGCTCGGCTCGGCTCAATCCCGCAACCGGCGGCGCGTCGCGTCGCGTCGTGACAAGGCGTGGCGAGGCGGGCGGCGGAGGAGGAGTGCGCGAGGGCCACTTCTCTTCTCAAGCTCCAATAGCATGTAGAAGAGAAACCCTTATAAGGAGGTCCAACTCCTCTTCCA